ATGAAAGCCCTGAACACATCCTCATTCTCCTATTTTGGGGCCTTTGTCATGTTTTCACACTCATCCTTCAAGGCCCAGATTCAATGTTCTCTGTTTTCTGTAGATTTCCTAGACACCCTTATCCCCCATCAGGACAAAATTAATTGCTGTCTCATTTATGTTCTGAAATCTCTGTTTTACATCTCATTATTTTAATAATTATCTCTTTGAATCCTTTCTGCCACCGGCCTCCCCTCCCCCCCAATAGATGCTGTGCACCTTGATGACAAGGTCTATTTCGTCTCCACCTTTATATTTCCAGTGCTTGCCATATAAGCAACTTCTCAATAAATGTTTATGAAATGGAATGAAAAAGCCCTAAAAACAGCAATTGGAGGCCCAGCCTTTTAGCTCTAAGGACTGCTTGCTATAGCAGATTGTTTTTTCTCCTTTGGAATTTTTGTTTATAATAAGAAAACCATATAAACAGAATTTTGAAAGACAGAAAATGCCTCTGAGAGTTACAGGCTTAGAGAAGTTACACAAGGGTAGTGATTGCTCTGGGGAGGAGCCTGAAAAAATAATGTCCCTTTGGGAGTTTGGACACTCACCTGGGAAGCAATAGCCCTAGGTTAATGATCTTAATATTAATAGGTGCGATTGAGAAGGAAAAAGTCATGGGGCCTAGACAGACAGCAGCGCCTTAGAAAGAGGTAGGGAGTGATCCTGGTCCTGGGATGTCTCGTACTGTTCACAGACTTGATGCACCACCTGCTTTGCGATGATGAAGGTGTTTGGCTGCCATCTTACCATTGCTCATGAATAATATGGTCCATTCACAAGACCCATTGCTGTTCTTAATCCACAGTTCACAAATCCAACAGGTCAAAACAAGGTCATAACACCCAATACGCCGTTTGCAAAGGATGGCCTGTGGCTGCCTTACGGAAACTCTCTGCAGGCTCCGTCATGGAGTCACCCTTTGCTGAGGAAGGAAGACCTAAGCTTCTATCCCTCCCCACCATGTTGCAAGAGACGAGACTAGTGGGCCCAGCAAACTGCTCACATCTGGGAAAGGAGCTATTGGGTTGTCAGAAAAGTCATGATGCATTTTTGCAACAAAAAAACATAGAAAAAAATACATCATGACTTTTCCGACAACCCAATATATTGTGGCCATTTTAAAGCCAAGCAAAATTGAGTGCCTTGGCTATTCCTGACATAAGGGAAACTACCATCCTTGGAAAATTATTGGAAGAAATTATCAGAGCATAGTTTGACAGCATCCGAGTGTCAGAGTGCAGCAGATGGCTCTGAGAGGAGCAGCTCTTTTCTGAGCATTCTCAACCTAATCACCCTGGAGAATGGGAGGAAAAGCTAGGACAGTGGACCACTGCATGTTGGTGGATGGTCTGAGTCCACTATCTTCATGGTGACTTATGAGCAAATCAAGAAAATGTGGGTGATGTGCAGAAACTAGGTGGGTGGGTCGTGCTTGGAAAATGCTTGGTTCCTCAAATTAAGCAGGAGAGTGTCTTTGTAAAAATAAGTAAGTGTAGTTTTAGTGGAAATGGGACCCCCATTGACTGATGGATGAGGTAGGGAGAAAAGGATTAAGCTCATTGAGGGAAAGTATAGTTCATTTTATACAGGAAAACAGCATTTAAGGTAAAAGCATCTTGGGGGAAATATTATATATGCTTGGAGGTACATCTATGAAGGAGAGCTGTAAGAGCCCTCATGACCACACACTAGCTGAGCATGAGTCACCCATAGACTCATGTTTAAAAAAAGAAATCTAGAAGCACTTGAATTGGAGAAACTAGGACAAAGGAGATACAAGTTTTTTCCAGACTTGGGTAATACGGAAGAATATACCAACATATATTACTGCTTTGTGTGTGTGTGTGTGTGTGTGGTTGTGTGTGTGGTGAGGGGGCAAGCTTGGAACCTGTCTCCAGTTCTCTTTGTACTTTGGTTTATCAGATGTTGTCACAAATTGCAGCCCCCTACACATCTACCCTGTGTTCCATCACTACAACCCCTTCCCTGTGGGAGCATCAAATTCCTCACCAACCTTTTGGAACAGCTGAGTGAGCCCCACTCTCTGGCAATAAGAGGGAACTTGAGCTGTTAATAGAGTTAAAGTGATTTTTGAAAAAAAATCTCCTGAGACCACAATAAGCCCATTAACTCAGGACCCATCCAAAGTGACCTTTCTACTTCCAGTTATTGATTCATCCCAGGCAGGCAGCTAGCTCAGAGTGGCCGTGGGCGGGGTGGAGAAGGTAGAGTGTCTCGTGGGGTCAACACACATGGCCTGGTTGTAACCTGCTCCTGATCTAGAATGTGGAATCTTTGGAGCACGGAGGATGGAATGAGATCATGTCTGGCCAGTTCCTTGGATCCTTCGAAAGCGTTAAAATGGGTTTTTATAGTTAAGTGTCTATTAGAATAGAATTGCATTAATTACTGAAAGGACCTTTAGAAATGCATGTACTTCTACAGCTATTTGAGGAAACTAAAGCCCAGACAGGTAAAAGCCAGTTAGTAGCTTATGGTCACAAATGAATAAATCGTGTGCTGAAGCCAATAGGTTACTTGAGACTGTGTCTTAAAGCAGAAATGAAATCCTGTCTGCACTTGATCTACACCAGGGTAAGAATCTTTAAGAGTCAGGCAAGTATCATAAATGAGTGTGTGAGCTGGGACAATAAGGACAGGGCATGCCATGGGCTGTGCCAAACGGGTGAGCACAACGGAACCCATCCAATGTGTGAGGAACAGCAGCCACGTGTTAAGTTTTCTTCCCACAGATTTTTCAGGGTATTGTTCTGTCTGATAGTTTCAACATCCGTCCCCTGTTTTATCTCATAAGTAGCATATTCAATTAATCGCTTCTATTGTTCACTCAGTGAAAGTTCTTAATGAGAAATGAAAACAGAAAGGGGCAGAGGGCCTGGAAGAGCCACAAGCTGGTGATCTGCTTTTAAATAATAAAGAATTGTCAGGGGGTGTGAGTAGACCAAAGTGCCCTCTATGGTGCTTTTATCTCTCTCTAGAATTTAACAAAGTGAAGGTGTATGCCAAGTCCCATCTCCATTCCTGAGACAGAGAACAAAGAACATCAACAGCTTCTAAACAAATGCTAGGCTGTCCTCTGCCTTCCTGCGAATGTCTGCTGGCTTTTCAAAAGAGAGGCCCTCGAAATCTCTTTCTACAGACTTATTTTTAGAACAGCTCACTGGGAGTACCCAGGGTTTCAGGAATAAGCTAAATGTTGAAAGCATTTCTTTATAGGATCATTGCAATCGCCTCTCTGTTTCTGCCTTCCCCGCACAGCCAGTCTTTGAAAACATTTGTCACTCAGTCTATCTCTCTTTTGCACCCACAAGACTACAGTGGCTAAACCCGTCTCAATGTCCCAAAAGGCTTTTACAATCTGCCCCCTGCCCAGCCTCTCCACGACACCTCCCCCCACCGCACCCCCTACCACTTACCAGCCACGCTGGCTTCCCTGCTGTTCCCCAAATGCTCTTTCCCAAGGACCTTTGCAATCTACATTTTCTGCTTAGATTTCCCCCCAGATACCCCCACGGCTACCCTGAGTACTTTTCAGAGAAACCTTGCCTGCTGAAAGTCTCCATCCCCTCCTCCTCCCCATCCCCCCAGCACTCCCTATCTTCATTTCCTACTTGGATTTTTTATGGTCCTCGTCCCCAGTTGCAAGTATCCATTTTACTTATTTGTTCTTCCTTCCTGTAAGTCCCAGGAGTGCAGGCATTTTTGTCTGTTTTGTTCCCTGCTACATTTGCGGAGCTTAAAACAGTGCCTTAAAAACATAGTAAGGGGGGAGGGGGGTTGTTACTTTGTGAGGGTGAAAAGGGTAACTATTGCATTGTTCTGTACACCTGAAACTAACAATAAAAAAATTAAAAACAAAAACAAAAACAAAACATAGTAAGTGCTTGACAAGTATTTGTTAGTACATTTTGAGAGTTCCCCGCCCCTCTTATGTGCTAGGGATGGTGGTCTTTACTGTGCTGGATAGACAAACGATTCTTGCTACTGAATCGTGGTGGTTTTAACGTTTCCATTAAGAGACTTTGTTTCCATGTTAATTCTACTTCCTGACATACCTTGAAATCATTTGCTTTTATCGCCCGTCTTTTCCCTTAGTTAAAACCATCATGACGTCTTACTTTCCCCATCCACTTTTTTTTTCTTGAAATTTTATTGGGGAACAGAGTGTTTGTCCAGGACCCATCAGCTCCAAGTAGTTGTTTCAATCTAGTTGTGGAGGGCGCAGTTCCTTAGCCCATGTGGGGATCGAACTGGCAACCTTGGTGTTATGAGCCTGCGCTCTAACCACCTGAGCTAACCAGCCGTCCCTCCCCATCCACTTTTGTTCCCTCCACACAGCCTCCCTCAGAACTGCTAGAAGGTTCTAAGATCTGCATCTGGTCATGTACGTTTCATTCCCTCACTTAAAATCCGTCAATGGTTTCCCATTGCCCTTCACATAAAACTCAATATCCTTACCCCATCCCACGAGGCCGTGCATGGTCTGGCTGCAGTACTGACTTTTTCTGTGCCTCTTACAGGCCAAGTTCCTTCCCAACTCAGAGTCTTAGCTGTTTCCTTGTGATGGAATAGTCTTCTGTTTGTGGTTTTCATCTGGTTGACATTCTCTTCATCTTAGTTTAAATATGACCCTTTCTCTAAATCTCTCTAGTAATTAAGTGAGTCTGCATTTTCCTTCATAGCATTCACCACATGGTAATTCAATACCTATGGCAATGTTTATCTCAATGGCCATCTCTACGTGGACTTATAAGGATGGGAACCCTTCCTGGGGGTTTGTCTTTGTATCTCCAGGATTTAACACTGTTCCTGACACATAGTAAGAGCTTAATGAATTCTTATGGAGAAAAAATGAAAAGAGAATTGTACGTGTCTCGCCACCCCAGGGACTGGGGACCATGTAGGGTGATTGTCTCACTGTTGGTTTCTCTCCACAGAGATTATTTTGCAGAGGATGATGGGGAGATGGTACCCAGAACAAGTCATGCAGCAGGTAAGGAGGCCGTGGGCCTTGCCTTGCTTCATTTTCGTTTCCCTGCTGATCATAAATCCCTTGAATCGTGGGCCTTTTAAAATCATCATGACAATGTCCTCAGACTTTCTGGGAATTTCCAGATATGCACATACCATTGTAGCTTATAATTCCCCACCTTCCTAGCACAGCGCCATGAAGAATAGCTGAAATACTGACGTCAACTCTTCATACTTTTAACAATTCTGTAATTGCAAGTTTAAAGTCACTTGTAAAATGGTTAGGTTCTGCCACTAAAATGAAATCTCTACTGTAATACACCATTAAAATTGTATAATGATAGTGTCAACCTCATAAGTGAAATTAGGTGAGAAGGGCTCTCAGTACAGAGCCCGTGAAGGAATAAGTACCCAGTAAAGATAATTATTATTATTAATGGATTCATAATAATATCGTACCATTACTGCCCTAATGTTAGTGAGGGATCTACCAAAACTACAAAACCAAAGTGAAGGTAGTTCTCTTTTGGGGATGATTTTTCACAAAAACATTTAATCACTTAAGGGTTTTACTTATGTCGCTAAATGATTTGCCTTGAAACACAGACGGTTCATATACACAATGTGGAGAAAAGTTTATAATTTGAATGTGTTAAGGACTTCAGATTGTACTTGTATATGTTAAATCTTCACGTTCCAAGGATCTACCATCCTTACTTTAGCCCCAAGAGCCTCCATTAGGAGGTAAAAAGGGAAGGACTGGGGCCAAAATGGAAGGCGGAAAGAAACATGCCCAGTCCAGGCAAGATGGCGGATTGGTATTGTCACTTACGATTTCATTTAATCCATATGAAAGCTCTGTGAGCTTTATTACGTCCACTTTTACAGAGACAATGAAGCTCAGCAAAGTGAAGAAATTTGCCTAAGTTCCCACAATTAGCAAGTGACCGGGAATCATATCCAAGTTTCAGAAGCTCTATACATCCCACCACCCTAATTGTGATGTATTGTTGTTCTGTTTTATCAAATTTCCTTGCATTTCATAGCCTATTTTATTTCACCTAAATGGGGAAGAAATAATTCTTCCTAATTTCTTTTAATTGAACTATTTACATTTCCTTAGACATAATCAGAATATTAACAAAAGAGGTGCAACGCTATTATTACTATTATTACTGTTAAGCTGCCATCACCGAGTGGGATACAAATAACAGAAAAACAATTATTTTGTACAAAATGAATCGAAGACAATAGGAGATGGAAAAAATATGACCTCTGTCTATAATTTGTGCTGTGCCTCAATAAAGCCACCTTTACATTTCTGTGCTAATTTAAACCCCTGTACTTTACCAGGCAAGGTTAGTGGGTATTCAAAATACCATACTATCTGAAAACATACTTGAAAGTATATTAATTTTACAAAAATGAAAAGACACTGTACAGTGCCCAGTTTAAAAACAAATCATATGGCCTTACATTTCTTTTTTTTTCCTTTAAAATCAGTGGTATAATGGGGAGTTTAATACTTTTAGACAAGAACAAACTGCCCTGGAACCACCCTATTTATCATTGTCATTATTTTCTTCTTCATTTTCATCTTTCTCTTCACCATCATCTCTTCCTGATCCTTTTTGTCTTTCTTTCCTTCCTTTTCCTTCTTGATCTTTTTTCCTTTAAGCAGAGCATGCTCTTTTCTGAGCATTGGGAAAAAAATTGTGACACGTTGATTGCAGTATCTGGGCACTTTTTCTTGTGTTCCTTCTGGCAAGTTTGCAGAAAGGAAAAGAAAAAGGGAAGGAGAGAGGAAGACAGGGAGGGAGGGAAGGAGATTTTCTCCCATCCCCTAGGTTGCCTTTTTATTCTGTTGGTAGTTTTCTGTGCTGTGCAGAAGCTTTTTTGTTTGATGCAGTCCCACTTATTTATTTTTGCTTTTGTTGCCTTTTCTTTTGGTGCCCAAGCATCTATGGTCAATTAATTTTTTGACAAAGGAGACAAGCATATACAAGGAAGGAAGGAAGGGAGGGAGGGAGGGAGGGAGGGAGGAAATTTTTTAAAAGGAAAAAAAGGAAAGGACAGAACAAAGCGCATGTAATGACATTTTGCCTCTCGGCTCCTTAGGCTCTCCTCGGCCATATACCTATGCCTAGTTAACTTGTCCTCGGTGAGGCACACCCAGAGCCATTTTGCTCTCACTTGCACTGACTGGGTCTATGGAGCTCAGCGTATTGTGATAGCTGTCATTTATTTCTGACTTAAAAAAAATTGTCCAGTAATAAAGGCTCATTGCTCCCTCCTGTCAGCCAAGAAAAGATGTGTTTTTCTGTGTCTTCTACTTGAGTCTGCACCCTCCAGCTCACCTCAATCTGAGATCCTCAATTGACTACGCTTGAGGGAAGCCCTGACTTGTTGTTCTTGTTCTTTGAGTGTTTCTTCTCAAAGATGGGCATAGGTTAGTAGCAATTTAGCTTTCACTAGCTTCTGCCAGGGCAAGGCTTCCATTGATGGCATCTCTGCTTCTCTGCCTGTTTTTTCCTAATTCTTAGACCTGTTGCAACCCCCTTCAGTGGGTTGCAAAATGTGTTTAAATAACACAGTGTTAGCATACTGTCAGGAAGCTGGAGTGGCGAGAACATGGTTCTTCCAGTGTTTAGAAACGGAATCGTGGTCAAGCAAACTCTCTGCACCTTCGTTTCCTTATCCGTAACATGGGATTAATAATCACATTAGTCTCTTTCACTGGTTGCAATAACTTTATAAAGGAAATAATTTATATGAAACTATTTTATCACCTGTAATGCCAGTTAAAGATGCTGGTTGGTATAATTGTTATTATTCCTAAATGATAACCTGAAAGATTACCTATAGAGAGATTTGTAAATACTTTTTAGCTAGTGGTTTGACTTTAAAAAAATAATAATAATAAAAAAAGGAGGCTATTTCAGTTATCTTTTGTCCTGTGATGAGCCACCCTAAAACTTAGGGGCTTAAAACAGGGCTCAGCCAGTTTTTGTAAATAAAGTTTTATGGTAACACACGCATGCCCATTCATTTACATACTGTCTGTGCCTGCTTTGAGTGACAAGGGCAGAGCTGAGTAATTGTGACAGAGATGGTATGGACCACGAGCCTACAACATTTACATCTGGCCCTTTAAGAAAAAGTTTGCCCACCTGGGGCTTAGAAAAGTGATTTCTTATTGCTCACAATCCTGTGTGTTGGCAAACTGGGCATTTTTTTCTGCTGGTGTCAGTTGGGATCACTCAAAAAGCTACAATCTTCTGACAGCTTGTGTGGGCTGTGGGTCCAATATGACTTCATTCAAGTGTCTGGCAGCTGGTGACTGGCTGTCAGCTGGGACATCTCCACTCCCCCTGAACCTGGCCTTTCTTCCTCCAGGAGGGTGGATTGGGCTACTTCACCTCATGTTGGTCTTGGGATCCTAAGAAGGCAAGAACAGAAATGCAAGGCTTCTCAAAGCCTTGTCCCTGGATGTCATACAGTGGCATTGCCATCATAGTCTCATGTACAGAGCAAGTCATTACGCCAATCTACTCAAGGGGTGCAGAAATAAACACTTCTTGATGGAGAAGCAGGAACATCAAATCACAAAGGGGCATGGGCGGGCATAAGCTAGCGTGTTCCACTGGGGACCCTTATCAGTAGGATCTCCCATAGGCTACTGTATGTGAACTGTGTCTGCGTGGCCTAGAATTGGCTTGTGTTTTGCAAACACCAAATTCTGCTGGACTGTGTAGGTGAGAATGACTCTAATGCCGCCATTATATCAAATGTGTTGTTGCTCTGTTTCACTGGCAGCTTTTCTCAGTGACACTAAAGATCGAGGCCCTCCAGCACAGTCACAGACGTGGAGAAGTGGTGACAAGATCCCCTTTGGGCAGGCACGTTACCTGAGAGCATTTGAAAAACCCCCTCAGGTGCAGACCCAGGCTCTTCGAGACTTTGAGAAGGTAAGTCAGATGAGTGGGTAATTGTTTACACAAGTAGAAAGAGTACCATGGGATAGTGATGCCTCATGAAAATATGACTCAGGGTTTAGCCTGGATTGTGGGCACTCTTATCATAATGCTCTCTCTAAGAGCGTATGTCCCCAAAAGCGTCTGCACTACAAGCTGTGTGCTGAGTGCTGTGGTTTGTGGGCAGAGATTCAGCCTTACCATCTTCACCCCTGGGTTACTTCTCAGATTCAGGAAGTTTAAATGGTGCCCCGAGATCCTATAGCTGGACAGTAGTGAGCCCAGGGGACCCAGTCCAGCTGGCTGGCATTCTGTTCTCTGTAGCTGGCTTGGCCCGCTCTACCTGTCTGGATACTGTCTGCAATACGAGGTGCCTCAGCCACAACCATTTGCTTCTCAACAAGAATCTCTCATCATTGCTCAAAGCTGATTCAACTCTTGTTTTCTTTTTTCTTTCTTTCTTTCTTTCTTTCTTTCTTTCTTTCTTTCTTTCTTTCTTTCTTTCTTCCTTTCTTCCTTTCTTCCTTTCTTCCTTTCTTCCTTTCTTCCTTCCTTCCTTCCTTCCTTCCTTTCTTTTTTTTTTTTGGACGTCCTTCACAGCTTTATTCATAATAGTCAAAAACTAGAAAAAACCCAGATGTCTATCAACAGGAGAAGGGATAAACTTTTGTATATTCATATAGTTGAAAGCTACTTAGCAATAAAAGGAAAGAACTACTGGTTCATATAACATGGATGACTGTCACAGGCAAAAGAAGAGTGTGACACTACGGGTGGACATACGGGTGTGCACACACAGTGTGGACATGTTTGCGTTGGGTGTTCATGCTCACCAGAAGGCATCCATTACAGAAGAGATTCAAGTAGTCAGAATAACTCAGACGTTGGCACTCTGGGCCAACTGACACAATAGACACACAAATACAGAGATGGAGGTGAAGGTAGGGCCCAAACCCTTAGAGCTATTGTCACTATAGATGTCCATCCCATCAGCCAGAGGCCGTTGCTCTGTCGAGAGGGCGCCGTTCTTCAAGGAAATAACCAGCTACTTGGGAGCAAGTTGACTGCCCTGGGATGCTTCTAAGAACAGTCAGCACTTCCTTCTTACGAGATCAGACACCTATTCAGGGTATGAGTTTGCCTTCCTTGCCCACAGAGCTTCATTCAGGTAGCAGCACACTCTGGGGGCTTAGAGGGCACCCGTTCCACTAGCATGGAATTCCACACAACACCGCGTGCCATCAGGGAGTCCACTTCCCAGCTAAGGAGGGTCAGGAGTGGGCTCACAGCCATGGCATATACTGGTCATATTGCACTACTCAGGAGTAGCTGGGCTGGCAGAGTGGTCGAATGGCTTGTGGATAGTGCAATTGAAGTGTCAGCTTAGAGGCAGTGCTCTGTGAGGGTGGAGTGCCACCCTCCAGGATGGCACCTTTATGTGGTGCTGTGTTTCCAATAGGAAAATGAATACCTGGGGCTCAGGAACCAAGGAGCAGCTCCACTCAACAAGATTTCTTAACACCCCATGAGCTAAAAAAGGAAACAGCTCTTTGGTGCCCCCTGGGGGCTCCCCAGGGGTCAGGCCACACAGGAGTACTGGGTAACTTTGCCCTGAGATAGGCGGGTTCTTTCATTCTTGAATTGATAGCTTTTGACATAAAATAATAAAATTCCATTTTCAAAGAAAGGGGTCATAACGCAGTGTTGCCATGGGTGTCCCCGTTTCCCCTGCCTTCCCTCAGTTTGTGAACAGAAATGCTGTGCCAGGACCTAAGGCATATCCTACCAGATTTTCCTGTGGGCACACAAGATGTTCCATGTCACATGTCCCCGAGAATTAAACAGCCCATTCTTGCGTTGGTTTTGTTATTGCCCATAGTTGTCATGGATACTGGTGTGTTCTTTTGTTTGTTTGTTTGTTTGTTTGTTTTTAAGACAGAGAGTTTGCAGGAATATTAAGCGGCTAATGGATGCCTAAACCCCTGAACGGCTGTGTAGGGCTGGTGGTTGGAGTGGGGGTTGTAACACCTCAGCCCCTTCCTCTATTTTCACCTTTTGATTCTGCTTGGTGGGTGTTCTTGGAAAGACAGTCGGCCTGCTCGTTCCTGTGGTGAGAGGTGATTGGAACGAAGATATGAGGGGTGTGTCCTCCGTTGTGAGAATCAATGGCCAGATGCCGGGGGGAGAGGGAAAATGAAGGGCTGAGTTGGGTGATGAACAGAGGTGACCTGATGTTCAGATGTGGGGTCCCAAGTCCTTTTAGCATCCTGGTTTAATATCCTGATTAGTCCTTACTTCTCCATGCTGAGAACCACTGACAGAAAGCAAGCTAGAACACAGAGAAAAAAAACAATTGCGATACATTAAAACCTTGGATTGCAAGTAACATGGTTTGCGAGTGTTCCGCAAAATGAGCAAACATTTCTAGTACATTTTAACTTGATAAATGAGCGATGTCTTGCAATACGAGAAATTTGCTTCTAGAACAAATTATGCTCGCAAATCAAGGTATTACTGTATTTTAAATCTCTCCCCTATGTGTCTAGTAATAAATAAATAACAACAAGGCAACGATATACTTTTGTTTGTTTGTTTGTTTTGTCAGAAAGGTCGTTGCCAGGGCTCAGAAGTTGTGACTTTTTCAGGGTCATAGAGTTTATGGACCATGGTCATAATACATCCTGACAGGTTATTGGGTTGGAAAGTTTTTTGCATATAAACGGTGTTGAGAAAAACTCCTTCTTATATGCTTTCTCCCTGATCATAGCGCCCAGTCAACCCCTAGCACGTCTGGGCTGAGTGAGACTAGAGCAGCACACAGATAATACTGGTTGGCATGTCATGGTCACTCTCTTCGTGTCGGATACTGTTTTAAGTCTGTGCAGTGTTATCTCATTTAATGCTCATGAGAATCCTGTGCAGAAACATGATTATTTCCCCAGTTTACAAATGAGGAAATAAAGGTAGAACGAGTAACAGAAGAACTTACCCAATGTCTCATCATGTGGGCCTGAAAATACTAGTCATTTTTGTGATGGGAAATAGTAGTACTTTCTAGATTAGGGAGCTCAGCTAGAGAAAGGTTGGTGGTAATGGAACTGGAATATTAGCTCCTACTTAAGTGGACACAGAATGTAATTCTACCTTCTCTACGTAAACTGGAAATCTACTTGTATCTCCCAGTACTCTCCTTACATGTGTTTTACTCCATTAATTCTGAACTGCTTGCAATTCGCAGCTGTGTCATTCTTCTCAGCCTTTGTTCTGCCTGGAATACCTTTCCTGTCCTGTTCTTTACCTGGTTAAAGCCTACTCATCCTTCAAGTTTCAGCTCAGGCGCCAATTTCGTTTCTTTTTTTTTTTTAGGATGCCTTCCCTGACTCTTCAATCTCAACATATATACCCTGGCTCTAAGCTCTTCAAGGTCCCAAAATACCTCTTGCTCATCCTTTTCTTGTCTCTAGAATCTAGCACAATGCCAGGACATAGTATGTGCTCAGTAAATGAGCACTAACTAAACTGAACTTGTTGGATTTGGAGTTAACTGGCCTATTTTCTCCCAGTCAATTCGACTGGATTTGTATTCCTCGGCCTCTAATCAAAATTCATGGAATGTATTCCCAGTTGAATGGTTCTAAGGAGGATATTGGTGTATTAATTGATTGGTTAGGATAGGAAACTGGGAAGTCAAGAATAGTACATTTGTTTTAACACTGAGTTTAAAGGCAGACCATTTTCCACCTCAACTGGATGACAAAATTATACATGGAAAATAAGAGAAAGAAGCAGAGACCTTCTGAAATATTTGACAGGGCTTATTAAGAAGATCATGATAGTAGCTAATAATAATAAGTAATATTTTTTGAGTGTTCATTATACACTAGGGACTCTCCTAGATACTTAATATATTTTAGTTTAGCTATTATTCAGTTCATGTTCCTAACTCATGAGGCAGATATTATTACACCCACTAGACCAGTGAGGAGACCAAGGCTCAAATAACTTACCTAATGCCACAGAGGTTTGAAGTGGCAGACCCAAGATCACCCCAGTGATTTCCAAGGTTCTTGGGGACATGAGAGGACCATGCAGAGAGAGAGGCTGCATTAGTGCAATGTGTGCATGTGATTTTATACATAGAATCAAAATGGCAGATGCTACGGAAAAGCTATGGCCGTAAAGTCTAGAGGGGGCCTCCACTGCCCTCTCTTATTTACACATTTTCTAATAATGCTGTCTTCAACATGAAAGTGCCAGCCTAACCAGCTGCAGTGCTTGCCTAATTATAGTCCGAAGCCAGCTTGCCCTGGTAGTCAGTGAGTCAGCCTGATGAGGCCCCACCCATCCCAGCAAATTCTTCCACTTGGACTTGAAGTCTGTGTGTGTGGTGGGAGGACGGGGACATGTTCTAAAAGGGCCTTTTCTACCTTTATGAAGACCTGAGTTATCACAGTCTGGGTTTCCTGTTCTAGTTTAGATGAATCTGGATTGTGTCACTGCTGCTCTTAGGTCAGCAATTTCAGTGCATCTGGAATATTTCCTCTGTAATTACAACCTTGGAAAATGAATACTGCCAGGGAAGTACATTTTCATTTTTTTTTTCTTAAATAGCATTTATGCTCTCCAACCACAGCGCCCCAAGCTTACTGATTTTGTTTTCACTGGTGTGCTGAGACATTCAAGAAGTTATTAGATGAGAAGGCAAGTGGGGGGAAATCCTAAACTTGCAGCAATCGTAAACACAGAATTTTCTTCTCTTTAGACATCACTTTTCAGGGTCATTTCACATAGTCATTCCACAGAACTTGCAGCAACGTTTTCATTCCTAAGCAACATGGCCAAAGATATGTATCAATTCAATCATTTTTTAAAGAACTATAAATAAAAGGAATGATTCTGAGTGCTGTAGAGATTACAAGTTACCATTCTCAAAGAGTGTACAGTCTGATTAGGGGCATATGAAATTTAACTTATACAAGATTTAATTTAAATAA